GTCATATTTGTATTTTATTTTTTGCAGCACTTTGCCGGTACGCGCTTTTACGTAGCCGATATCTGTCCTGATGCCAGTTCTCATTATTTTGACTCCAAACTTGTTATACTTGTCTTAGATATTATTCTAGTGATATATAAATACTTTTCATAATTTTTCGGGATACTTCATTGGTACGCATTTATACCGTGAAGCAGAACCGGTATCTGCACTTTTCATCAGAAAAGGGACTTTCAACATTATTAATCACTTACTATAATTATTTAAGCTCTCTCATAATTATTCAAGGTCAATTATGGAATTATTTCCTAATATCATAAGTATATTAATTAAATTAATTAAATTAATTAAATTCCTAATTTAACGGTGCGGGTTCTTACACACTCATAGGTCAACCTGAAAGAGGTTTCCCCTGTTGTTGTTTGGGTACTTGTTCTGCATCCCTAAAGAACAAAATACAACTGATGAACCCAGCTTTCCTTGGCATCCATCATTCGTTTTTTGAGCCCATCAACAATTACCTTGTTTGCTGCTTCGGCTTGCCTATTTGATTGCGGGTGTTCCACAGATGCGAAGCGTTGTCTGACTTTTAAGTCTTTTATTAACTCTTGGAACTTTTCATCAGCAAATTGTGTTCCATTGTCGGTTACCATCTCAACTGGTATTCTAAATCTAGAAACAATATTTCTTTCAAAGAATCTTTGCACCCTAGTCGAGGTTATTGTGGTAATGGGTTCTGCTTCTATCCATTTAGTGAAGTAATCTACGGCTACAATTAGCCACTTCAACTGTCCTTCGGCGACTTTGAAGGGTCCCAGCAAGTCCATTCCCCATTTGAAAAAGAGTCATGGAGCCGAGATGTACTTTAGCTCTTCTGGAGGTGAAAGAATTAGCCTGGCATGTTTCTGGCAACTATCACATCTTTTGACATGCTCTTTGGAGTCAGCTTCCATAGTTGCCCAGTAATAGCCAGCTCGGAGGGCCTTTCTAGCCAAAGTTTTACCCCCCATGTGTTGGCCATTGATTCCTTCGTGTATCTCGACCAGAACATATTTTGCTCCTTCCGAATTCAAGCATTTCAGCATAGGGATATGCAACCCCTTTCTATACAGCTGATCCTCCACTATTGCATACTGCGTTGCATCTCGGACCAGCTTCCTTGATTCCAGTAGGTCTTCAGGCAATGTTCATTTCTCGAGGTATGCCACTATAGGTTGCCTCCAATCATTTGCCGAGGTGATTATCATCACACCACTCAGCTCAACTCTACTTTGTTGGACCACGGTTCTGTGGTTTCCTGGATTCTTCGTACTTTCCAGTTTGGACAAGATGTCAGCTCAGCTGTTTTCCCTTGAGGAATATGAGTAATTCTTACCTCTTCAAACTCGGCCATCATTTCTCGGACCTTGTTTAGGTATTTCATCAGCAGAGGACGCTTAGCCTGGTATTTTCCTTCGATTTGAGAGGTCACCAACTGGGAGTCACTGAAGATATTAATCTTCTTAGCCCCATGTTCCTTTGCCTGCATCAATCCGGCTATTAGGGCTTCATATTCTGCCTGATTGTTTGATGTTAGGAAGCCGAGATTCAAGGAGTGTTCTATTGCAACCCCTGTTGGATTTTCAAGTATGATCCCAGCTCCACTCCCTTTGTCATTGGAGGATCCATCTACATATTCCCTCCAAACATCTTCAGCTTCTTCCATTCCCGTGTTAACTGGGGTAAGTTCCATTATGAAGTCGGCCAAAGCTTGTGACTTGATGGCTTTCCAGCTTTCATATGTTATATCATACTCAGAGAGTTCAATTGCCCAATTGGTCATTCTCCCAGCCAGATATGGCTTGTGTAAGACCTGTCGTATGGGTTGATTTGTTCGAATCACTATCTGTTGTCCTTGAAAATATGGTCGTAGTCTTCTCGCCGTAATCAGCAAGGAAAACACCACTTTCTTCAGCCTTTGATATCTTAATTCGGGACCTTGTAAGGCCCTGTTGACAAAGTATATTGGCTCCTGGCCTTTACTTGTTTCTTTGACCAGGATAGCACTTATTGCTTTTTCTCCAATAGTCAAGTACAGGGTCAGAGTATCTCCTGGTTCTGGATTAGATAGCACTGGTGGGGCTGCCAAGCATTTTTTAATTTTGTCAAACGCGAAATGATATTCCGAGTTCCAGCCTTTAACAGCTTCTTTTTTCAACAATTTGAAGAATGGGAGGGCATTTTCAGCTGACTTAGATAGAAACCGAGTTAATGCAGCCAGTCTACCAGTCAATTGTTGAACCTCTTCCTTGCTTTGAGGAGATTTCATATCCAGTACTGCCTTGCACTTGTCGGGGTTTGCTTCAATTCCCCTATGGGTTAACATAAAACCCCAAAATTTTCCTGCTGGGACTCCAAACGCACATTTTACCGAGTTCAGACGAATGCAATATTTTTTAAGTTTTTGAAATGTCTGCTCCAGATCTCAGACATGATTTGTCATATTAAATGACTTGACGATCATATCGTCGATGTATACTTCAATATTTTTGTCGAGCTGATACTCGAACACCTTATTCATCATCCTCTGGTATGTAGCCCCAGAGTTTGAGTCCTAAAGGCATCATGTTGTAACAATAATTAGTCTTTTTAGCAATAAAGGTCGTCTTCTCTTAATCTTTCAGATATATTGGGATCTGGTTATAACCAGAATAAGCATCCATGAAGGATAGCAACTGGTATCCAGCCGAGTTGTCCCCTAGCTGGTCTATGTTGGGCATGGGGTAAGAATTCTTTGGGCACACTTTATTCAAATCCATGTAGTCCGTTCAGACCCTCCATTTTCCGTTAGGTTTTTTCACCATAACGACATTAGCAAGCCAGGTGGTATATTGAATTTCACGAATGAACCCGGCATCCAGTAACTCCTTCACATGCTCTTCCAAGACCTATTTTCTTTTTGGTCCCAATTTTCTTTTCTTCTGCGCTACTAGCACTGATCCGGGATAAATTGTCAACTTGTGGCAGCAAAATGTTGGATCCATGCCTGGAATCTCAGATGACTTCCATGCGAAGAAATCTGTATTGCTCTTGAGAAACTAAGTTAGTTCCTCCTTGATACGGGGATCTATGGTCTTATCAATTTGAGTAAATCGAACGGGTTCTTTCCCCAGCACAAGGTCTTCTAACTCCCCATCTGGTTCTGGCCTGGGAATGAATTCTTCTCTCATGTCCAATTCAACCATATTTATTGGTTTTCTTGAATAATGAGGGGTTGCCTTTTTGCCGGCTTCATCTCCCTAACGAATCCGGGGTGGACTCAAGTGTCCGCCTTCATTTTCTTTGACTGTTTCAAAGTAGCATTCTCTGGATTCTTTTTTATCTCCGTGGATGGTAATGATTTCATTCTTGTTGCTTACCATCTTTATCTTTTGATGCTTTGTGGAGACTAGCATGTCACATTTATGCAGGGTTGGTCTCCCCAGGATGATATTGTACTCAGATGGGAAATCAGCCACTATGAATCTCACTCGTTCTGATTTGAATGCTTCTTTGGTTCCTAGGGTTAACCTGAGATCTATATAGCCTTTAATAGATGTGTTTTTTTTCCATTAAAGGCTATCAAGGTTTTTTTGCAGGGTTTGATGTCTTCTTCATCCAGGTTCATTTTTTTTAAGGCGCCCCATGATATAATGTCGGCACTGCTTCCCGCATCTATGAAGATCTTTTTAACCTGGCAATTTACCAGGGTTCCAGTGATGACCATCCCGTCAACGTGCTCCGGCAAAACACCTTGCATATCTTCCTTCGTGAAGTAAAGTAGAGGGCGATCTAGTTTACTGAGATCCTCCTTGAATTTGGGACGATCTCTGACCGAAAGCACTTCTTTCAGAAACTTTCGTCTGGCACTTACTGTATCTCCCCCTCCTCCGAGAGCTCCACTGATCACATTACAAACAAACTCGGCATCAAAGAATTCATCGTTGTTGGAGTCGTCTCTTTGGTTTCTATCCTCCTTCTTTTTCTTCTCAGGCACTGGACTCTTGCTTCTCTTTCGGTTTCCGGGCTTTCTCTTATTGCTTTTGGAGCCCTGAGTCACGCAATGTGTAGTTATACGCTCTCGATCAGGTTTTGTACCTTGAGAGCGGCCTCCTTAAAATGGTCCAGATAACTGCGCAATGTTTCTCCTCCCTTTTTTTCTAAACTGCACCCAAGGCATATATTGGCATTGGGTGTGTCTTAGTGGTGGCAAAGTTGAGCTGAAAAGTTCATGCAAAGTCTTTGAACGAGTCAATTGAGTTCTTGGGTAACCTAGTGAACCAAGTCATAGCCGGTCCTTTTAGAATGGATGCAAAAATTCGAGAACCATGGATCCATTTATCCTAGCCTAGTCAAAATCTGCAAAATCATGTTTTGATGATTTTATTTTTATTTTTGGATCAAAATTAGTAAATAGATGAGTCTATAACATACATACTCATGTCGTTGTACTATATGTTGAGCATTGCAAATATTTTCAACAATTTTTTATAAAAAAAATAGTAATAAACGATTTTTATACATCAGTAGAGTATCAAATTTAACTTATTGAACAATATGAAATGAGATACCATTTTAAAAAAATATTAAAAATTTATTTATTTGATAAAAAATTCAAAGTACATGGTATATTTTGTTAGAATGTCATTGAACAAAAATTATTCAATGGCATAAGATTGTGTGACTCCAAATAATAATGGAAAATGAATAACATTTCATCATTATTTATTTATTTTTAAATTTTCTGACCAGTTCAAAGAATTTTTCTAGAGGATTCCATCTCTGGACTCTAATAAAACAAAAATAAAATCCTTCTCATTTAACTAAATACCAGTTAATTTTGCTCGAAAACAAAGACATTATGAGTTGAGCGGACTCAGAAAATTTTATTTATGTCTGCACATTTAGTGGTTGGGGTACGGGGGCAGCGCACTAAAAAAAATTTAAAGAAATTTTTAAATGCATTAAAAAATAAAAAAAATAAATAAGAAGATAAAAGAAACTATTCACATATATCAAGCTTTGCTATTTCACGCATATCTCATTTTTTGTAAATGTTACTTTAAGCCAGAGTAAAGTATTTTTGGGTCCTCAACAAATATTACGGGACCTAATTTAATCTCTTAGGAAAAAAGTCGACTCATGATCCCTCTGAAATTTAAAATAGACCTATGTTAGTCCTTTTCAGGGACTAACGTGAGCTTTTTTTTGAATTTTAGAGAGACCACGATTTCGACTAACTGTGTCTATTTTGAATTTTAAAGGACCAAAAATCAACTTTTTTTTCTTGGATTAAAATGGGCCCTGTGATTTTTGATGAGAACCCAAAATGTATTTTACTCTTCAAGTTATTTCAAACGAAATTTTTTTTGTGTCTGTATTTGCACACGTAAACAACCATGTAGTTCCGCCAATGGTTGAAACTAAGCATTATAACCTAGAGGAAGGTCGATGGAGGACAATTTTATTTTTTAAGTCTTTCCTCAGTATCTTTCCCGCTGCATTTTTTGGTATAGAATCGACAAAAGTTACATGCCTTATTTTCTTGTACGGTGCAACCTGCAACCACGAGCAAATTACAAAAAATATATACATATATATTTCCATTCAATATGCAAACTAGAATGGATGAAAACTTAAAATCTCAATGGAACAAAAAAAATAAAGTATACATGGGAGTTCACCAGGAGAAAGAAAATGGTATAAGAGAAAAGCACCTGTTTGGCTACAAAATCTATTATTGCTGCTTCGCTCAGGGAACTTTGAGGCTGTCTTACCACAAAAGCCATGGGCACTTGACCAGCATCTTCATCAGGGTATCTGTTGATGATGTTTAAAGGTAATTCATTCTTTCGTAGATAGCATAAATTAAGCTTGTGTCTTTCTGAATTGTGATTTCCAATCCAATTTATTAAACTTTGGTAATAATTATTTTCTTTATATATATTATATGAAAATATGAAAGAGAATATACATTATTTTCTAAATATTTTGACCAACATATGTTTCTTAGAAACTAATTTTTCACTGAAAATATATCTCTTACAATTAAGTTGTTTTTGGTATTGGATACTCAAAATAAGAAAGAGCAGAAAATATTAAAAAAAAAAACTTATTAAGTTTTTCTTGTGGTAGAAGTCATTCCTTTTTTTCTTAGAAATACTTCTTAACTGATTCATTAACCTTATATTTTTTAAGTCTTTTGGGCCTTTGGCACCAAATAATTTTAAAAAAAAGTTATGTCAAACACTAAAACGTATTTTCTAAAAATTCATTTTTCATAAAAATTAAAAAAATCAAAAGATAAGTTATTACGGAATAACTGCAGCATCGTTTATCTTTGGGTGAGACATGAGCAATTGTTCTAGCTCTGCAGGGGCCACCTAAAATGCGCAACAGAAAATACCAAATCCGTCAGACCTTTGTATAAATTAGATAGATTAAATATAATATAGCATAAAAATAAGGTATTGACACATAATTCATAACATTGGAAAAACAAATTAAAGTTTTTAGGTTTATCAACAAAATCAAGATAAAGTTATTTTCGAAAAACATAATCGAACAATGGGAGAGAGGAGAAGACTTTTGGTGTTCCAGGAGCAGCAATTTCACTTTGTCCAAATCAATGAAATTGTGACAACTTATCTGGAGAGACAGAGAGAAAAGAGTAAAAAAGGAAATTTATACAAGTATCACTCATTTAATAGAAAGACCATGTGGGGCTAAGAGCACTAAAAATTTCATTTCTAAATAGAGAAATAGAGAAAAAAAAAATCTCACCCACACTCTAATTATATCTGTAATAAATAATTTCATTTCTAACTTTATAGAGAAACATTAATTCCAAGTTTTTTTTTTATATTTTCTTTTTATATACAATAGTAAAAAATGAACACATAACATAATATAAATTATTCAAATTCTTTACCACTAAATCAATCCTAATAGGTTTTTTAGTATTTCATAACTTTTATATAAATAGTTATTACTTTTCTCATAAAGAGAGCATTTAAATTTTGGGTTTTATCTTTTTCATTTTACAAGAAAAGCATTGTTGGTTACTGCAGAAAGAAGATTTAGGAGAGAGAAACAAATATAAGGAGAGAGAAAATAATATCAATGGCCCCCCTATATATATATAGGGTTCGCTTTTTCTGCAAGTTACTGCAGATAAGTTATCTGCAGTAAACCAATAAGACATCGTTTTGGGGCGAAAATTATGGTGTTTTTATAATTTTAATTTATTTCAAGGTTATAATAGTCTTTATATTTATAATTTTTTAAGATTTCAATACCAAAACGACGTCGTTTTGGAAATAAATGCAGATAACTTATCTGGATTAACTGCAGAAACATTTTTCCCATATATATAGGGGAAAAAGTATCTAATGTTACTTTAGATAATTTTGTCTAATGTTCATCGAAACGACGTCGTTTTGGAGTTGAAAAATAAAAAAATTAGAATGATAAAGACTATTATAACCTTAAAATTAATTAAAATTACAAAAACACTATGATTTTCGTCCCAAAACGACGTCGTTTCGATGAAGATTAGATAAAGTTATCTAAAGTAACTTTAAAAAAAATAAACCCATATATATATATATATATATATATATATATATATATATATATATCCCATTTACCAAGTTTTTAAGCTTTATCTTAAAAAACATACAAAGTATTTTTTATTTTATTTTTTGGTACTATAAAAACATACAATGTATTAGAACCCGGGGAAGTTTATATTTAAAAAAAATTTCTTTACAAATTCTTACAAATTATATTAATTATGACCGGTCATACCTCAATTAAGAGTGTATAACCGGTCATACTTAATATAATTTATACAAAAAAATTTATAAACCAATCATTTCTCTCAAAACTAACATAAAAGTACACTATTTTGGCAATCATGCATCACTTCACTTGGATGGTAGAACAAAAGAACCGGATAGATTAATTACCTGATAACCCTTGTATTTGATCAATTCTTTCAACCTGTCTACAACATACAAGAAACCTTCATTGTCGAAATAGCAGAGATCCCCTGTCCTTAACCACCCATCCCTCAAAGTTACTGAAGTTGCTTCTGGGTCACCTACATAACCTGCCCTAACACCATACACAAAAACAATAATGTTCCATTGTTAATGGCAATAATCTACAAATTACTATTACTTTAGTTTCGCAAAACAAAACACAAATGACAGGTAATAATACAATTGTATCAATCTCATGAAAGTGCATGCCTTTCATAATTGTAGGTCCTCTAAGCCAGAGTTCCCCCTGTTCACCAGGAAACATGGCCTCTCCTGTATTGGGGTTCACTATTTTTGCTTCCATCCCTCCTATCAGTCTACCTGTTGTTCCTGGCCGCCGATTAGTCTCATCGGGACCCATTGTTCGGATAACTCCAGCCGTTGATTCAGTTAACCCATATCCCTATAATATTTCAGATACTAGTATTAGTTTATTTTTACCTGTAGCTTATAAAAAATATTAAAACAAAACAATTTGTACGTTATTATTCTTCTAACTAGTTATTTTTCTAAAAAAATAAATAAGGATTTTATAAGGGATTTGGTGTTTGTCATTTTAAATGATATAAGTTATGTCATTTTAGGAGAGAAATAGACATTGAAAAACGAAAATCATGGGAGAGAGAAATTGAGTAGTTTTTTTTAATTTAAAATTCAAATTTTCTGTGTCTGTATCTCTATTAAAATGACATAACTTTCTGTCATTTAAAATGATTTAAAATGACAAACATTTTTCCCTTTTATAAGAATTATATTGTAGAAAAAGTGATTGTATAATGTTATAGAGATTTATTTTGCGTGCCATAATTTTATTTTCTTTTTTCTTCAAAAAATGTGAACTTCACAAAATATTATTTGTGTAAAAAAGTTCGGTGTGGACAAATACAAACTCCAATAAACATAAGGAATATTTGCTCTTCTCCCTTGCTTTATCTCCACCTAGAGCTTCCTATATAATTATTTGATATGACAGTCTAATATATTTTTTTAAATATCAACGGGTGTCCGCTACCAGACCCGTTTAATCTAGTTTCAGATTTAAATTTATTCAGCCTCCTCAAAAGTTATGACTATAGGAATTAAACTCCCTCAAATAACGATTAGAGGTTATATTTAATATTATCAACTAAGTTTATCACATCTTATTATCTCTCTTATAAATGTCGGATATAATCAAATTAACATTGTCATTTAATATAAAAAAAATTTCTCTCTCACTTTCTCTTCCTCTATTTTATCTCTCATCTTTCTATTTTTATCATGGTTTAATATTTCTTAGATTGTAGGAGATAAATATATAAATATATTACTTAGTTGATGATAAATATAACTTTCTCTGTATAATTTATATTATTAATTAAAATTGAATATAGGAGAGAGAAATGATAGGCCCGGTATCAATGGTACCAATTTTTGAAAGTTTATACAGAAAATATTACATATATTGCAGCGGATGAGATTCAATCTTGTATCATGACAATGACACATAACCACTTACCACCAGTCTATTTTTACTTGTTGTTAATAAACATCATTTAATTTACAAAAAAAAAAAAAAAACATCATTTAATATATTTATCATATAATTTAGTAGAATTACTTTAGAAATTGCAATTAATAAGGATGACCCTTTGTCATAACAGTATTTAAAATATTTATTATATAATTATGTATAAAATATAAATAATATACATTTATTTATATTATGCATTTCAATTAGTTACTCACTGACCAAGTCAATGATCAGTGCAGGTTTAATAATATTGGTATAAATGGATGAAAATAAAACTTAAGGTGGAGCTTACAAAATCTAAAAGTTAATTCCATATATCCTGATAAAATAGTGTGACGCAATATAAAAATAAAGTTAATATTTAAAAAATATCTATTACACGTCAATAAGAAGTCGCATATCCCCAGATTCCCCACAATGTAATAATTGGGAGTACGAGAATCCTTATCCAAGTGTACTCTGAACGAAGAGTTAAATAAACGAGGTGAAAGTATGTATCTAATTTTTTTTAATATTATTTTTAGAAAGATTTATAGTATTAATTCTGTACTCATTTCAAAATTGAATTAGCTCAGAAAATTTATAAAATTATTAGGGGAAAATTAAAAAAAAATGTAAAAATGATGTATAAACAGATATGTATATAGTACGTACTGTTATTGTTGAGATTATGACGTAATCCTAATTTTTGTTTTCACATATATTTTGATGTAATCCTATTTATTTCATTATTTGAATATTAGAGATCTGAAATAATTTAATTGTAAATATAATATTTCTCTTATTTTTAATTTAGATATTATATATTTTTCTCGAAAAAATGATTTTTTTATAGGAGATAAATTATATTCGTATATTACTTTTATATATATGTAAGAGATAAAATTTCTTTTACAATCACATGAGAGACATTAAAAAAATAATATGAATATCATTGCGGCGTACTTCAAAATCACTTTTGCCCATATGATTTGCGAAAACAAAAAGTGTCACGTCTTTTTGTTAATACTGTTAAATATTATTCAATTCTTTTAATTTCCCCCTTGAAAACAGTATTTAATAAAATAAAACTTAGAATATTGCACATTTACCATGAGCAGTCATTAAACAATAAAAAAATATTTTCTTAAATTAAACATGTATTTATAATTTCATTTCCCATTTGTGATCTTTATGAAAAAATTAAAATAAACTTATATTTTTTTTTGTATAACAAAAGTTTAAACAGGTTTAGACACCGGAAGACCCCCAACCTCTTTGAGAATTTTTAAGAAGGATTACATATCACCCACCGACAAAGTTCTCATAACAGTCAGCGGGGGTTGAACCTATGCCCTTGAAGGATATGGACCAAACCCTTAACCAACTGTAGATTTCAAACTTATATCTTTCATTTTATAATCAAGTGTACTTTAGATTTCAAATTTTAAAATTATAGAATGTAGTTATTAATTCTTTTAATATATACAGTTTATTTTTTAATTAATTTTTCAATATTAAAAAAATTATAGTATTTTTTTAAATTTCAAGATTAAACTACATTTTAACTTAAGTTTAAGAGAAATAAATCATTTTTTTGTTAAAAGTTTGGGTAAAAAATTATCACATAATTTAAGTGTGACAATATTTGTCATTAACAAAAAAAATAAGATAAAATTATAAAAAAATATCCTTTAAATTTTTAAAAATTTGTATCAAATAATAACAAAATTTAAAGACTAAAATATATAGAATTATAATCTGAAAGAATAAATTGTCATTTTACGTTATTTTAATTTTATCTTCTTCTTTTACTACAATAAAAAAATTCATTATTTTTACTGGAATAAATTTTTTTATTTCTATTAATTTGACGTTCAAAAATGTTTACTTAATTGAATTCTAAATAGCGATTAACTGTAATAAAAATTATTTATTTTATTATTTTAACTGAAATATCTTACTATAAATTGATATAAATTTTTGACTTCATAAAATTATGCCACTTATAATTTATACTCCAATACAATATAACGAAAAAAAACGTGCCAAATATTCTTTTTTCTCCATAACTTTTTTTTCTATTTGTTCATAGCATCGGGAGTTTATCTTGTTCAAATTAAGGTAAAATCATTTTAAGCATTAATTTTAATATTATTAATGTTATAATTTTTTAATTATCTAAATTTTTAATGATAGTTGGACAAGATTTTAAGTTTTATTTTATTAAATAGTATTTTTAGGGACAAAATTGAAAGAATTGAATTATATTTATCAGTGTTAAATAAAATAACATGGTAATTTTTTTTTTCAAACCATAATGATATATGTGATTAAAAAAATCAAAAGTAATTCTCACTTAGATAAGCGGAATTAGTAAACTTTCTTGAAAAAAAAAAAGAGTTTATCATTTTAAATGATATAAAATTATGTTATTTTAGAAAAGAAATAGACATATAATAATACTTTTTATTTAAAATTTAAATTAAAAAATACTAATTTTCTTTCTTGTAATTTTTATTTTTTGTGTTTATCTCTTTTAAAATAACATAATTTATGTCATGACAAAAATCAAAACCCAAAAAAAAAAATGTACTAAGGGACTTTTGATAGAAAAAAAAAAATTATTTAAAAATCTTAATTTTAAAAAATAGGATGAAAACATTAAATTTACGATAATATCTAGAAATTTAAAAAATTCAATTTCTCCCACACCCCCTCGTGTTAAAAAGAAGTTTCATTCAAATTGTGAAGTTTAAAGCAGGAAGGTTCAACAGAAACCTGAACTAGCAATACTCCAGGGAATCTTAATTTGAAAGCCGCAACGGTTTCCTTTCCCAGCGGAGCGCCGCCACAACGGACGCCTTGCAACGAAGTCAAATCGTGCCCCTCCGTCACTCCGTCTTTGCTCATCGCCACCACTACCGGCGGCGCTGCCACAAGGTGAGTCACTCCGAATCTCTCCACCGCGTCCAGCATCTTCCCCAAACCGAACCTCTCCATCACCACCACCGTATCCATCATAGCCACCGACCTCAAGCAGTACGTGAAACCATACACGTGAAAATACGGCACCGTATAGAGGTACACAGCGGGGCTCTCCGTCCGCACGCGAACGGCGTCGTATCCCGCCACTGACGCCATCAAATTCCGGTGCCTGAGCATAACGCCTTTCACCTTCCCGGTGGTCCCGGACGAGTACAAAATCGCCGCCACGTCGGATTGGCTCACATCCACGCCGCCACGTAGGATTGAAGCCGCGGTAGTCGTCGTGAGCGAGTCGAACTCGGGCGAGTCGAGGAGAATCGTTCCGAGACGGAGTTTTGGGAGCTTGGGCGCGGAAAACGACGTCGCAAAGGCGATGACAGGTTGGCAGAGGTTGACGAGGCGGGAAATCTCGGAGCGCGTGCTGATTGGGTTTGCGGGAGAGACGACCACGCCAATAGAGAGTAGCGCGAAGTAGAGGATCGGAACCTGTATGAGGTTTGGGGAGAGAATGAATGCGGTTTGGCCTTTGGTGAGTCCATAGAGTGTGGTGAGGTTGGTGGCCAGGGTTTCTGAACGCTGGATCAAGTCTGAGTAGCTGAGTTGGTGACTCGTGGCTGAGTCGACGAGTGCGATAACCGAGTCGGACCAGGACGAGTTGCGGCGGAGGGAGAGGGTGTATGCCGCGGCGGAGATGTTGGCGTGAGGCGGAGGTAGGTTGAGTGGGGGCATATGGCTGTGGAAGGTTCTAGAAGCAGTGTTGAAACCGCTTTTTGGATCCACGAGGTTGGTGGTGTAACTTCTAGTTTTGTCTTCCATGTTAATGGAATATTTCAGAAGAGATTAACACGAGAAAAGATAAGATTCCACTGTGGTGTTGATTACTGCAACGCGAATGCATCTTTTTAATGGGAGTTTTTTTTTTTTTTTTTTTTAATAACACGAAATTATTTAAAAAAATGAATGTAAATTTGTTAAATAAATAGATTTTATTCAATCTTGTGACTCAAAATTGTTTGTCTTTATATTCATATAGTTTGTTAGGTAATTTCAATTTAGGTTCATAATAATATTTTTCCTCTAAAAATATTAATAAGGTATAAAAGACAGCAATTTGTGGGGACAGTCTGTGTACACGTGACATGCATGTGTATAGAATGCTAAGGAATTGTCTGGCCAATCAAAAATTGAGAATTGTAATATGATAATAGAAATAATCTTTTATTGTATAGGCATTTCAAAATGTTGGTTCTCCTAAATTAGTTTCTCACCACACATAACAAGTTTGGAATAACTTTTATTAGCAAACACATTTTTATTTTTTCTATTTTTTTTCGATACATTGAAAAATTGAATACACAATATATTACATAACTATTCATACTACTCAGTGTTAGACTAATCCTAATGGCTTGCAAACACATGTTTATTGTGAAACTTCTTTGCATGCTTTTTTTATATTGAAATAACAAAGGACAATACTGTGCTAAAACTAAAGGGAAGAGGCATTTGCTGGTAACAAATGGGAAACGTTTTCCTTTTTAAAAATATTTTGTTAGTAATTGCTTTAGGATAAAAAAGAAAGAAAGAAAAAGGAAAGAGCACACGAAACGGAAAACCGATATATGGCAAAGGCAAAGGCAAAGGTCGCGGTCAAGGGTTGGGTGTTCAAAAACGTATCTGTCTTAATAGAGAATATTTTCAGTACTACCATTGTATATTCGTATTAAATATTGGATAAAACTAAAGTTTTTTTTTTTTTCTCTCAAAATATGTCAGCATTGTTATTAATGGAACGTAGGTACTACGATAATATATTAGATTTTTTATCCTAACGAGTAATGACAGCATCAATGTCAAGCCACCTATATTTTTTTTTTCTTTTTTTTTGAAAATTATTCTAAGGGTATCCTCTAACAAAGGTGTTTATCAACCGATCCAAACTGATGCAAATCGCAACAACCAAACCAAAAAAACGATAATCGAATTAATTGAAAAAAAAAACCGCAAAAGAAATGCAAATTTTTATTGGATTATGGATCGATTTTTGATTTAGTTAGTGAATATCGATATAATCCAAACCAATCCCATATATTTTACCTTACCCTCTACTTACTTGGGCCTATTCTCCAATTATAGCCTAAAAATCACATAGCAAAATTTTGAACACAAGACTCATCAATCCATCTATCAGCGTCTAAACATAAACGAAAGATCTATCTCTGGGTCCGAAGAATTCAGTTTAATATTTTAAGTTTACTTTCGTTATGTTACAGAATTTCTGTCTAGGGTATTTATTCAATTTGCGATCAAGTACTTTTTGTTGTTAGTGATTTTGGAAGACTTATTACTCCAGTATTGCCAAAACTTTCTACTAATACCAGTACAAAGGATCCATGATAAATAATACTCCCTCATTTTGGTAAAAATAAATCTCACAAGTTCTAATTTTAGGCTTTTCAAGAAACTGAAAACTGATCCAATCCAAATCGAATAAAATTGGATTGGATCGGAATAGATGTGAAAAAAAAATTGAAATCGAATAGATTATTAAATGATCAAACCAAAGAGATTGGATCGGGTGATTTTTGCTTCAAAAACCGATCCAATCCAGACCGCAAACACCCCTATCCCTTAGCTGAAAGCTAAGAACTAATTCTCTTGAGACAGAGAGATCACGCGATCGTAGGTAGAATGATGACCGGTGCTCCCATCCCATGGAGACACGCTCGGTAGAATGAAATTCATCGCGGAAAGATCCTCAGTATGCTTCTTCAATTCCGCTAACTCAGGTGGAGACATCTGGTATGGAGCTAATGAAATAGGCCCCACACCAGGCAACAGGTCAATGGAGAACTATATCTCCCGCTGTGGCCGAAACTCAGGAATCTCCTCTGGAAACACCTCGAGGAATTCCCTCACCACAGGAATGCCGATAATATTTCTGTGTCCCACTCACCAAACCTTCCAACATGACATAACCAAATGCCCCTGCTCTCACGGCTCTCCTAGCCTGCAGCACTAATATATAAGGAGAAGAACTAGTAGTGGAATCACAAGGAGACATCACCAATTTCTTTGCACAACAATCGATCATCATACAATTCCTGGACAACCAGTTCATGCCAAAGATAATCTACAAATTAGCCATCAGTAATCCAATCAGATCTATCGAGTACTCACGACCATTCCACTAAAACACAATATCACGGTGTACAGAGAAAGTATCACATTTTTTCTCCAGTGGCGGTAGTAACCCACAAAGATGGAGAAAGCACATAAATGGGCAACTCAAGTCCCACAACAATTGGGATCGCGATGAAAGAGTGCGTAGCTCTGAAATCAAACAATACATCTACGTCACAACCACCAATGGAAATAGTACCACTCACAAGGTTTGGAGCTTTGTCTGACTGCTGCCAATCCAAGGTGTAAACTCGGCCCATGGATGGTGGCACAACAGGTGCCACTGTAGGTGGAATAGGAACCATCTGCAAAGAAACCGCATGACCTGCTGCCGCTCTAGCAGCTGACGAAGGACAATCTCTGGCATAGTGACCCTTCTTGCCACAATTGAAACAAATGATCTGACCGGTGGCACACGGCCCAACATGTGATCTCCCACATCCAGTACACCTGGGAATAGTGGAAGGTCTAGCTGCACTCCCCTGAGTCGTAGTCCTATTGAACTGGTTCGGCACTTGCCTAGCAGATAATTGCTTCCCTTTGCCGTTTCCTCCAAACTTCATGTCTCTCCAGGAAGTGGAGCTACCAACTTCCTTCATCTCAGGCTCTCCTGTCTTCCTCTTCTTATTCTTTATGCAAACATCCTCAATATCACGACATTGTTGGATCAAGGTACCAAAGTCTCTAGAGGCAGCACCAGCAATACGATCTGCTATCTCTCCATTAAGTCCTCTACGGAACTTAGAAGCCAAAAATGCAGGTGTAGGCATAGAAATACAAAAATTGGCAAACTTGGCCAGTTCATTAAACTTAGCCAAATATTCATCAACAGACATTGAGCCCTGTACCAAGCGCTCAAACTCCCCCTGCTTCCTTTCCTAAGCATCGTAGGGAAAATACCTCCCAAGAAATAACTCCTCAAAGAATGGCCACGTGATAACATGACTCTGCATCTCATAGACTTGAGAGGTGTTCATCCACCACTCGCGAGCATATCCCTCCAGCATGTACGTAGCAAACATCAGCTTTTGCGGGTCGGTACACTGCATTACCCTGAATATCTTGTTCAGGGCCTGAAGCCATCTAGCAGCAACAATGGGATCATAGGATCCATCAAATGAAGTGGCTTATGCTTACGAAAAGCATTCAGCCGATGGTTTCTCGTCTCTTGGTCTTCTACTGGCTCATAATATGGTTGCATCAGTCCCGTCAGGTGGCTCACACCCTCCATGTGGCTCAAACCATCGTGGTCAGGAATATACGTTCCTCCTCCGTCCCTATCATGGTGACTATGTGGAGATGGAGGTGGAGGTGGCGGTGGTGGCAGTAGAGGTGGTGGTGGAGGAAACTGGCCCTCATTGCGACCAACCCTCATCTCCTCCAACATGACCTTCATCATGGTCATGTTCGCCAGCCTGTTCGCCTCGAGTACATCCTCAGTAGCTTTCCGATTTGCCTCTCTCACGACATCCATCTTAGCCTGGTTGGCCACTCTAATGGCCTCCTGATCGGCTTGTCTAGCCGCCTGTATCTCAGCTAATTCAGTCAGAATAGGATCAGGCTGACCATCATTAGTCTCTCGAGTCCTCCTAAGAAGTACCATGACTCTGCACATGTTACACAAAGAATGAGTTGATCAGGCCCACACAATGTGGTCTCGCATGCATTATCACAGCAAAACCCAAAGAGAAACTCACAAGACAAATCATACAAAAAGGCATCCTGAGTTATTGCAACACATACAGGCTTTTTCGTAGAAAGTGCTCTGATACCATAAAATGTAACACTCGTGTTCACACGATGTATTAAACATACATATGGTAATAGCGCAGATAAATAAATGCGAAAGCTAACTTTTTCTTTCCAATTATGAAATCATTCATTATTAAACAAGTGGATTTACTTATACCTTTTCAAAATATCGCCTGTATATAAATTGCAATAAATAACTAACTGAATAACCTCATTATAAATAGTATCGAGTCATGGATCTACAACATGTAGACCGGACCATATCCTGATACATAAGTACAACTCAAGTCTGAAATAACATAACTGATCTCAATGTGGCATGGATAACCCTCATGCTCACCAAATAAGGCAACATAGCCAAACAATGTCTCAAATCAAATAACAATACACTAATGGGTAATATCAAGAGTCTTAATATTATAATTATAATAAAATCCTTTTAATATTATAATTGACTCTTCATATTTCTAACATTCTCTCGTCCGATTAATCATAATATACATGTTTATCTCTAATGTTAGTCATCGTGAAAGATAAATTGTCAAGTGTGAGTTATGGCGTTAGTGCACTATTAATTCAGTACATTCTCTTCCATATACTACACCACCAACAATCCATCATATAAAATCCATCATATAAAATTCATAATATAGGAAACATAATGGTCCACATAATGTCTTACAAAGACTTTCTTGTCAAAATTCATAATGTGTATACAACCATAAAATAACAAGGAAACATAATGTATGTCAGAAACACATAGGTGAGCTCAAAGTTTCTCACATCAATAATCTTTAATACAACCAAGGCCCATACTTTCAACATGTTCTTTAAATAGCTTTGGTTGTAACCCTTTCGTCAAAGGGGGGTTTGCCATCATGTGTTCGGTTCTGATGTGCATAATTGACACTCTGTTTTTGAACCTCCTCTTTAACGAAAAAATACTTTAACTCTATATGTTTGGCACCTTTAGGCTTTGTTTGGGAGTTGGTTTTAGGAGGGGAAGAAAAGGAAATGGAGGGTTTTAGAAAGTCCTTCCCTTGTTTGTGAGCTTAAAAAAATGAGGGGGAGGAATTAGGGATTTTTACTAAATCCTCAAAAACCCCCCTTCTTCTTAAAATTAAAGTTTCCCCAATTTGGAGGTTTGAGGGAGAAAATATTAAAAATTACTTATCTACCCTTAACATAAAAAAGTTAAAACTACATAAATGTGAATCATTTTAAATGTGACATTATTAGAAAAGCCTCAAATACTGACAACATTTATAAAAATAGTGATGAAATTTTTGATGAAAATCATATACGTCAAAACTAAGGACGAAATTAGAGACATAACTAGATTTTATCATAATCACTCACATAATTTTGTTAGAAATTTTAATTTTAATATAATTTGTAAAATATAATAATTATATTAATTTTAAAAAATGATAATATGGTAAAAATATCTCATTAGCCCTCCATTTTTCTCCCTTACCATTTTTTAACTCCCAAATAAGGGAAGGGAATACCCTTCAATTTTCTTCCCTTCCTTCCCCTCCCTCCCCCTTGGATCCCCTTCCTTACCCTCCCCTCCAAACTCCCAAACAAAGCCTTAGAGTATCTCTCATTTTTAGAGAAGAATATTGTTGCAGAATTATCACAATAAATTTTCAGAGTGGTCTGCTATTGGTGTCGACAACCACAAGCCCTGAAATAAAGTTCCGCAGTCATAATACATGAGTTGTGGCTTCAAAACATGCCACAAATTCTGCCTCCATAGTGGATGGAGCAACGATAGTCTGTTTTGCACTTTTTCATGATATGGCTCCTTTGGGAAACATAAACAAGTAGCCAAAGGTTGACTTTCTACTATTAAGACATTCACCAAAATCTGAATCAGTATATCCAATTACTTCTAATTCATTGGACCTTTTGTACATGAGCATGTGATCCTTCGTGCCTTGAAGGTATCTTAAAATATTCTTTGCAGCTTTTCAATGTTCCATTCCTGGATTACTTTGATATCTGCCCAACATCCCGACCGCAAAACTGATATCTTCCCGAGTACAGGTTTGAGCATACATTAAGCTGCCCACAACAGAGGCATATGGAATTGATTCCATTTCTTTCCGTTCAACATCGTTCTTTGGACATTGCATGAGACTAAATTTATCACCTTTCTGTATAGGAACAACTCCAGGTGAGCATTTACTCATATTAAATCTCTCTAGAATTTTCTCCATATATCCTTTCTGAGATAGTCTCAACAATCCTTGTGATCGATCACGAAATATTTCTATTCCAATCACATGGGACGCATTTCCCATATCTTTTATTTCAAAATTCTTTGAGAGAAAATCTTTAGTCTCACTCAATATACTCAAATCATTTGCAACAAGTAAGATGTCGTCAACATAAAGAACTAAGAAAACAAACTTACTCCCACTGATCTTCTGGTAAATACACCGATCAACAGTGTTTTCCTCAAATCCAAAAGATGTAATAATGGCATTGAACTTGATATACCATTGTCAGGATGCTTGCTTAAGTCCATATATTGACCTTTTGAGTTTACACACTAATTTTCTTTCACTTTCCATGAAAAAAACTTTCAGGTTGATCCATATAAACTTCATTCTCAAGGTCACCATTAAGAAAAGCTATTTTCACATCCATTTGATGTAGCTCTAAATCATAATGAGCCACCAATACAATAATTATCCTTAATGAATCTTTTTTCGAGACAGGTAAAAATATCTCTTTATAATCATTGCTATCTTTCTGAGTATAACCCTCGGCAACAAGTCTAGCTTTATATCGTTCGATATTACCATTAGAGTCGCATTTCGTCTTAAAAACCCACTTACAACTGACTCTTTTGAAAAATTCAGGTAATTCGATGAGATCCCAGACATCATTCTGATCCATGGATTTTAGTCCTCTTTCATAGTTTCAATCCATTTATCGGATTCTATACTTTATATGGCTTGTGAAAAAGAAACTGGATCTTTATTGATTCCAATGTCATAATCTAACCCTTGCAGGTAAACCACATCATCCTTCGAAATAGTCGGCCTACATTCCCTTTGGGATCTTCTTAATTTTATTTCTTGTGGTTCTTGTGCATTAGCATTCTACAAGTTAGCATCTGCTGGGAGTACTTCTTCATTCAAATGTTGTTCAGTGTTGTCATCTTGTTCCACAACAACTGGAACAACATTAGGGAATTTAGTAGATGGAGTAATAATTATAGGCAATGAAATATTTACCCGTCTCCTTTATTTCCATAATTTTCCTTTTAGAACTCCCACTAACTTCGCCATTCTCAATGAATCTTGCATTACCAGTTTTCATAATTCTCGGACTATGGTTTGGACAATAAAATACATACCCTTTGGACTTCTCAAGATAACCAATAAAATATCCACTAATCGTTCGAGAGTCTAACTCCCATTCATGTGAATTATAAATCCTTGCTTCAGCTGGGCAGCCCCAAACATGTAGGTGCCTTAAGCTAGGTTTCCTTCATGTCCACAACTCAAAAAGAGTCTTTTGAACTGCCTTACTAGAAATCCTATTCTGCAAGTAGGTCGCACTTTTAAGTGCATAAGTCCACAAATTTTTTTGGGTAATGAGGAGTTACTCATCATGCTCCTTACCATATCCATTAATGTCCAGTTACGCCTTTCTGCCACACCATTTTGTTCCGGTGTGCCCGGCATAGTATATTGTGCACATATGCCATGCTCTTTGAGAAATTTTCCAAATGGAACTGGACATTGTCCTGACTCATTATATTTACCGTAATATTCACCACCTCTATCTAACCTTACAATTTTTACCTTTTTATCTAACTACCTCTCAACCTCCTTAATGAATGTCTCTACGATATTTACTGATTGAGATTTTTCATGAAGCAAATAGATGTAGCCATAGCGTGAAAAATCATCAATAAAGGTAATAAAATATTTTCCCCCATTAAAAGCTGGAGTGTCCATAGGTTCACAAATATCAGTGTGTATAATCTCTAGAAGTTGGGTGCTTCTTGTGGCATCTTTCTTATTATGTTTGGTTTGCTTTCCCTTAATGCAATCCACACATA